TGTACTATGCTTGGGTGGAATGCCCTGCTGTAAAAATTGACAAATATGCTGAGCCGAAGTAATGTACAAGGGGACGCCTCGCAGCATTGTGAGAGAGATTTGTACCCCTTCTTTGAATAAAATATGTCCCATCACATTTTTAAATGACTGGAATCTGTTTGGGAGCGGGGCAGTGAAGGAAAAGAGTAAACGTTCTCGTCATTCTTCTCTGCTCAGAAACATTTCCTAGGAGTGAGTGTGGAAGTTTAGGAGAAGAGACATAGGTGTGTATTATTCTAAAACCCATCTAGCTATGAGGAAGATAAAATAAATGATCTAAGAGGAGACTGAATCCTGCCCTTAAACCAATAGATGTTTGAAAGGACCAGCCTCTGATACCTTTGCTTTGGTTTAATAATACCTTACTCCATGAGCAGCCCCTCTGACTTCATGGAACAATGCGCCTAATTGCTGAGGTATATATTCCCAAGGAGCTAAGCCCTTATGTCATTTTTCTGGGTGAGTTCATTCAAGGACACAGTGATTATATAGTTTTACCCACATAGTTGTTTGGGGGGGGCACTTGATGCACTGGAGGAGGTCCACCACCTTCTGTGATAGGCATGTGTAGGGCCCATGGATCCTGAAATGTGGGTTGTAGAGGGTATTGATTATCATAACAGTGGAGATATGGCTACAGGCTTTGCATCTGTTGTTATGGCATGGTCTGGTGCCCCTTTGAGTTCATGTGTCCTGATCTGTGAGGAGCGTGCTTCTGATGATAAGCTTGGTGAGGTTGGGGGTTGTCTGAAGGCCAGAAGAGGGGGTTGGGGAAACATTTCTGTCAAGGTATGGTCCCCATCAAGCATGTGTTGTAAGTGTTTGATCATACCACATAGGGCTTACAGTGTGTGGTGACAACTAGGGGTGTGTGGTCAGTGGGTTTCTTTTTCTATATTGAAGCAGGTTCTCTCAGGGTATTAGTGTGGACCATTCCATAATGAGATTTAGTTCTTTGGTGGAGTGTCTTTGTTTAGTGAAGATGTTTTTAAGTGGGTTAAGGAATATATCATGGACTTTCCTCTCAGAGCATATTCTGTGATATCTGAGTGCCTGGCTGCAGATAACAGATTTCTTGGTGTGTTTGGGATGGTTACTGGATCTATGAAGGTAGGTGTGGTGATCCAGGGATTTCTTGTACATAGTTGTCTGTAGGATTCCACTGTTGAAGCTCATTGTGATGTCCGGGAAGTTGATGCTGGCGTGGGAGTGTTCCAGAGAGTTTAATGGACGTGTGGTGGTGGTTGTGGAAATCTACGAGGGAGTTTAGGTCATCTGCCCAGAAGATGAAAATATCATCAATGTATCTCAGGTATATCATCAGTTTTGTTTTGCATTTTTCCAGAAATTCTTCCTTGAGGTGACCCATGAAGAGGTTGGCATATTGAGGAGCCATCCTACTGCCCCTGGATGTTTTTCATGGTTTGGACATAGTGTTTGTTGCTGAATGTAAAGCTGTTATGGGTGAGGATGAAATGGATGAGTTTGGCAATGTGTTCATGGTGGATATCTGAGAGTTGTCCGTTTTCTGGAAGATATTTGAGGCAGGGAGTGTTGCCTTCATGGTGAGGGATGTTGGTGTATAGGGAGGTGACATCCATGATGGCAACTATGGTGTTTTGAGGTAGGATGTTGATCTTGTGGAACTCATCATCAGAAGGAAGCTCCCCATAGACCAGGACACACCAACTAAAAGTGGCACTTGACCCTGCCAGAACAACAGATGAAAACCCTACAGCCATATCTCCACTGCTGTGATAATCAATACCCTCCACAACACACCTTTCAAATCCGTGGGTCCTATGCATGCCTATCACATGTGGTGTACCTCATCCAGTGCATCAAATGCCCCAACACCAACTAGGTGGGTGCAAGTGGACAACCACTATGTTCTTGAATGAACTCACACAGAAAAATGGTAAAAGACAAAAACACTCTGTCACCTGTGGGCAAACAGTTTTCACAAAATGATCACTCCATATCTGATCTCTCAGTCCTCATCCTCAAAGGAAACCTGCACAACACCTTCTTCAAAAGACAAGCCTGAGACCTTACATTCATAATTCTGCTAGACACCAAAAATCATGGACTCAGTAGAGCCACTGGTTTATGTCTTATTACAACAATCTGTAATCCACTAACTCTCCTTTGTCCTATAACTGCAAAGGTATTAATTGCCCACTTCATTTTTAATGGTTTCTTTCAACATATGTTCCTTATGCCTCATAATCTGCTCAACCTTGTATTTAGCTGTTCATGCTGATTACCTTTCCCAGACCCGAAGAAGAACTCTGTGGAGCTCAAAAGCTTGAATCTTTCATCAACAGAAGTTGGCCCAATAAAATATATTACCTCCCCGTCTTCTCTCTCTTAATTACACTTGGCATTTATGAGTCTGTTGCTGCTACCAGCAACCTTGTGAAAAAAACAAACCCACAATTTCTGGTCCTGCCAACATGATGTATGAATGTCAGAGATTGCAACCTGGCTTTTAACCAACCTCAATACTAGCTGATCCATCATGCACAAAACTATAATGTTAAAAAATTGAGGTCCTTATTGTCTGCTCACTTACACTGGTTTGAATCTGGAGTAATTCCAGGGAAGTCAAGGGAGTTACACAGTGGATGATTTGCAATGTAGACATATCCTTACTTGGGCTGTGAGATGTCATTAGAATCTAAGGGCTTCTCTTCACTGCAGAGTTTACTTGAGTTGTAACTTCAGTCCCAGCCACATTCAAAAAATGTTAACTCACTTCTGATGGGGCTTTTTAACTCAAGTTGACTGATCAGTCATGGGGTGTAGGTTACAAGTAGAGTTAGCACCACTCGCCAGCTACTAACCCAAACACGCTTTACTGCTTGTACAATCAATCTGTGCAGTTATCCATTCATTCTGTGTAGCACACGTATTGTTTTGTGGTGTGGCCACTCTGACTAGAACTAGACTAACTCAGGAGGCTTTAACTTGAGATAAGTCTGCAGTGAAGACATTGTCCGAGTCACTCCCTCTCTCACACCTGGCCTACACTACAAAGTTAGGGAGACTTACTTGTGTGTGTATCTACACTCAAATTTGTCTCTGGCCAACATAAGAGCCCCATTACGGCAACACAGTAAAATAACCTCCCTGAATGGCTTAAAGCCATGGTTGACCTACTCAGGTTGATGTAGTGTGAGTACCGTCACCACCGACCTGTCTTGTATGGACTGTCTTTCTGCAGGTGCCAGAAAGAAGTCACATGTCTCTCCCCCGGCACGGTTATCAGCAGCAACATCCCCAGTAGGGGGCGCCATGCTCCAATAGGCCTGCTCAGTAGCAGCAAAGTTAGACGGGAGGTGCCATTATCTCTCTCACATGCAGTTCAACACTGGCCCAGACTGGGCTTGATCTTTACACTGGGAAAGGAGCTTGTGTCCCTTTGGTGGGTCAACACTATTGAACTGCAATCTGCAGCTTCCCAACTGCTGGCAGAGGACAACTTGGCTAGCTCAGGACCCAGCACCTAAGGAGCAGTGGGGTTGCTGTGGTGCTGAAGAGCTGATATGCTGAGTACAAACTACGCTAGTAGTTACCCCTCAGCAGAGACTTGGGTGAGGCTGCCCTTGCCTTCTTCATTTTAATAGATCTGGTCAGCATCCTGTCCCGGGAAGAATGATGGCTACTGCTGGGGGCTCCGACCAAGGGGACAGACCTTTTGTCCAGATTGGGGAAGGCTCCTGAAAAGGTCAAGGAAGGGAGACCTGCCCCTCTGTGCTGGAATTTGTGATGTTGGGAAGAGCCGCTGCTGAAGTCAGAGAAGCTGCTGGGCTGCAAAAATCCAGAGGGCAACCTGAGAGAGATTTGTTCCCCTCTTCACACTGTTACATCACAGTCACTGAATCCTCCTCTCTGTGTGCGCTTGTGCCTCTGCCTTTGGGTGTGTGTATGAACGTGTCCAGGTGGCTAGGTGTGTTGTGTGTGCAGGGAGGGCAGGGGTATGCGAGGGGGAGGAAAGGTTGGCTGTTTCCAACACTGTGTGAGTATGGGAGTGGAGGAAGGGAGGAGAGGGGCGTTTCACAGCCCTACTTTTAACTCTCTTGGCATTTCACTTGGGGCACTACTGTAGTGCTTCAGTGTAGACGCTACCCACAACTACAGGAGGAGGAGGGGGAGGGGTTCTCCCATTGGTGTCGGTAATCCACCTCCCTGAGAGGCAGAAGCTAGGTCGATGGAAGAATTCTTTCGTCACTCTAGTGCTGTCTGCACCAGGGGTTAGTTCGGTTTAACTACAGCTCTCAGGGGTGTGGATTTTTCACACACGCACCCTTCCCCCCCCCCCCCCCCGAGAGACATCACTATATTCATGGAAGTTTCTCATGTAGACCAGCCCTCCGTCAATGAAGAAGTTACTGAACTGTGATAGAAACCACTGATCCCAGCCTAGCTGAAAATGACAGAGGTAATTAATCACCGCTTCGGTTTTGTCGCTGGGCTCCCCCAGGCTGTAAATGTGCTGTCCACAAGGATTCAAAGACCAGTTGTTACTGAGGGCTCTGCCAAGAGGCACAATTTAGCCCTAATCTGGGCAGTGTGGAAAACACCAGTGAGGACAGAGCAGTAACATGAAGGGACCTAGAGGAGACAGAAAGGTGAGTAGAAATAACAAAGGGCTAGATTCTGACTTTAATGAGGCCCCTTAATGCTCACCCAGAGCAGCCTGGGTGACTGTATAGAGAAGAATTATCACCTCTCTGGATTTAGATGGCCATACCAATTACCTGATTGTTCGAGGCATTTACTGGAATTTCTGGTTACAGGTTACATCAGAGTCATCAGAGCAAGAATCCTTCACTTCAGCCTTTCACAGCCCCAGAGCGCTATAAATACTGGGACTCTGTCTTCATCTGGCCCAAACTCTCCAACTCACTCTGCCTGGTGTGTCTTCCCTGGAGGGAGGGAGTGATACTGAGATCCTCAGCTATGAGGAGCATGTACCTGCTTTTTGCGGTTGGTGTCCTCCTCTTCCAGCTTGCTCCAGGTGAGAGAGAAAATAACTGCAGGCATTCTAGAAGGGATGTGTGTGTGTGTGTGTGTGTGTGTGTGTGTGTGTGTGTGTGTGTGTGTGTGTGTGTGTGTGAGAGAGAGAGAGAGAGAGAGAGAGAGAGAGAGAG